TACCGAGAACGTAAACTCATATCTAGCAACACTAATAGACTAGCAACAATATAATCACGTATCTACTGAGAATGTAAACTCATGTCTATCAACACTAATAGACTATCAACAATATAAACACATATCTATCAACAATATAAACTCATATATGTCAATAATATAAACTGTCTATTAACAATATAAACTCATATCTGTCAATAATATAAACTGTCTATGAACAATATAAACTCATATCTGTCAATAATATAAACTGTCTATCAACAATATAAACTCATATCTGTCAATAATATAAACTGTCTATGAACAATATAAACTCATATCTGTCGATAATATAAACTGTCTATCAACAATATAAACTCATATCTGTCAATAATATAACCTGTCTGTTAACATTATAAACTCATATCTCTCAATAATATAAACTATGAACATTATAAATTCATATCTACCAACAGTATCAACTCATATCTGTCAATAATATAAACTGTCTATTAACAGTATAAACTCATACCTGTCAATAACAAACTATCTATCAACAACAAAAACTCATATCTATCAACACAATACACTCATATCTATCAACAATATATACATATATCTACTAACACTATAAACTATCTATCAACAACATAAACTCACATCTTTCAACACTAAATAATCTATCAACACTAAAGTTAACATTTTCTGTATCTGATAATGTATTTCCAATAGATACTCACCTATTCACACAGTTAAGTTACCTTCCGCGTGCATCTGCTTTAGAGATTTGCATGCCACTAACCTTTGGGCAACTCCCCCCTAAACTCATGAGATTTCTCACGATTTGCACTTCTATCCAATGATACTATTATGCAGCAAGAACCTTCCATGAAAAGGACAGTGACACAGCCTCTTCTCTGTGTAATAGCTCCCTCTATGTTTTTTCACTCATGATCTTCATTCTATGATGAGGCAAGGAATACTAAGTTGCACCAAAATTGGGGAGGAAGGGTGTGAGGAGGTGAGTATCTATCGGAAACATATTTTTATATAAGGAAAATGTTAACTCCCAAGATAATATACTCCTGGCAATTGATGTATCAGACAAAAGTCAAATTGTTGGAGTGGATCATGACCAATTTGCTCCAAAATAAGGGAAGGAAATGATACAAAACATAATTAATGGCCAGTAGTTCCAAGGTGTTATGTAAAGTTGCCTTGAATGGAGACCAATGACTTGAAATTTCCTGATGCTCTAAACACTCCCCCAACCCCAGAGGGAAATTATCTGTGAGAATGTGCAACTCAGAATGAGAAGGCAGAAGAGTAAAACCCACCATAGTGTTGTCTCTGTGTGGTCACCATGTGAAATCGTCTAGGAGGGATGAAGCAAGCTGGAATGGAATCAAAGGGATCTTTGGCAAGGTTGCATTGACCATGCAGTGTGCATTGAAGGGTGCACATATGAGCACAACCTAAGGGTAGAAGCACTTCTATGGAAGCCCACATCCCCCAAAGTGAAAGAACCTTGCGTGTAGTGAGAGTAGATGAGATAAGGGCCTTGGTGATCCACTGTAGATGAAGGGGAGAAAGTTGGCCCCAACTAAGGTAGGAGTGGAAAAAGACTCTCATGTGGACAAGGTATTGGGCAGGTACAAGGAAGGACTTCTCCACCTTGATGATCCAAACAACACGAGCCGCTTCTCTTAGAAGCAACTGTGTGTGTTTGTGTGCTACCATATCTGAAGGAGCCAGCATGAGCCAGTCATTCATATAATGGAAGGGCAAGCCATGAGTATGGGATGGTTGAGCAAATGCCCTAACCACTTGACAAAACACACAAGATGCAGTGGCTGGCCCAAAGGGCAACATGCAAAATGGGTAAACCCGTCCCCTGTGAACAAATCAAAAATATTGGACTGTGAGAAATAGGAATGTTGAAGTAAGTGTCAAAGACATTTATCTTGGTCATCCACAGACCCAGAGTGAATGCCTACCATAGAGTGAGAACTGACTACATGGTAAAATGGGGAAGGTCTGTGAAATGATTGAACCGAGACAAATCTATCACCAGATTCGAGTTCATGGTCTTTTTGGGAACTGCAATGATCCTGGAGTAAAAATCTTGAGAGGTCTAAATAAGTGATTCTACAGCACCTTGTAGTAGAAGAGTCTGGACCACCTCAGAGTGACACTGGCAACTTGTAGGATCCCGAGGAGGAGGAGAAAAGGACACCAGAACTGTAGACAACAGAGTGGGGAGATGGAAATGAAGAACACTTGCTACGTACAGTTCAACATGGTAGTGGTTTGATCATGATATGAGTGAAAAACACCACGTACATACAATTCAACGTGGAAGTGGTTTGATCATGACATGAGTGAGGAACACCACATACATACAGTTCAATATGGAAGTGGTTTGACCATGACATAAATGAAGAACACCTTGAAGCCACAGTTCAACATGAAAATGGTTCAACCATGATACAAGAACATCTTGTACCTACAGTTTAACATGAAGGTGGTTCAACCATGATACAAGATCATCTTGTACCCACAGTTTGATACAAAGATGGTTCAACCATGATACAAGAACATCTTGTACCTACAGTTAAACATAAAGGTGGTTCAACCATGATATGGGTGAAGAATACATGGTGGGTGGTGTGATTGTGATATGGGGATGTTTTAGAGAGCAATAAAGACAGGAGACATTCATGTGATTGGAGAGGAAATGAATACAGCTACATATCAAAACTTCTACAAAGTACAAAAATATGAAAGGTAGAATGGGCCCAGATATCTCCAAAAAGATGTAACATCTGAAAGCTGTAATAAATGTAAAAGGAGAAATACTTAAGTAGGAGTGCCAATATTTCAGACTTGAACAAATACTTCAGTTTGTTTGTTTTTGAATAGAGATTACTTGTTACATTTCTAGCAATTGTGTACTATGCATTTTTGATTCATTAAAAGTGATGGAAGTTTACTATTTGCTTATCTATAATCTGTCACCTTGATTTATAGTATAATACAGGAAAAAATAAAAAATTCTGAAATCACAGTACCTTTTGAAAAGTTTTGAAAATTAGGTGCCTCAGCAATTCTGAGCATGTTTGGGGCACAAAACATGAGTATTTTCAGGTACACTGTATCCTGTGAAAATCCACCATTTCGTCTCAGTAAAGGAGTTATCTATCCTGGTTCATCACCCATGAACAATAAATAGTCGATCATCATATTTGCTACGTTAGTAAATAACCCTATTATTGCTCACACAAAACCAATCAAGTTCCTGCATAAATTTGAAAATTTTTGGTTTTCAGAACAAAAGTATTCCCTTTAGGTCCACGCATTTCCATCTCAAAGATATTGTGTTCATTTACATTAGAAAATGTGGCTAGAATAGCTCCTTGCAGCTGTCAAAATGTGACTGATCAGCTCCATGATGAAATAAATCCAACAGTGTTTTCATCCAAGTTTCATAGTTTATTTTAGGATGAATGGATTGACATATGAAAAGAGGGTGGTCTACTGATTATGTTTTTGACGTTGCGTGGTGAATTATAAAAATGGATTTTTTCTATTTCAACTTTATCTGACAAATTGCTGTCTTTACATGGGCACGATGGAGCTATACAACACAGCACATGTGCAGTAGAATTTTCTTTAGAGAGCAGCCAATGAGAGAGAGTCGCATTGTAATTGTTATATATGTTGAACCCTTTGTTTACAAAATATTGCGAGCACAAGGAACATCATGGTAGTGTAGGCTACCCCCCCCCCCCTATATTTTTAAACCAGATAAAAAGGAATCATAGAAAATGACCCAGATGACGGAGAAAAATTCGGAAATCCACAAATCCACTGAAAATTGACATTCCAAATAATAAGTACTGGTTACCAATACTTTTGTCTGTGACTTTACACTTGTGAAGCACAAATCTTTACCACATTTTCTTCCTAATGTTGTATGTAGATTAACCAAAGAGATACTAAAAACTTGTATTACTACAACTTCAAAGCATGAACTCTCCTATTACTACAGCTTCAAAGCATGAACTCTCCTATTACTATAGCTTCGATGCATGAACTCTCCTATTACTACAGCTTCAAAGCATGAACTCTCCTATTACTACAGCTTCAAAGCATGAACTCTCCTATTACTACAGCTTCGAAATATGAACTCTCCTATTACTACAGCTTCGAAGCATGAACTCTCCTATTACTACAGCTTCGAAGCATGAACTCTCCTATTACTACAGCTTCGAAGCATGAACTCTCCTATTACTACAGCTTCGAAGCATGAACTCTCCTATTACTACAGCTTCGAAGCATGAACTCTCCTGCAATGTACACAACAGAAATAAACTACATGATATGGAATGGCTCATTGATTTAGAGATGCCAATAGCTGGCAAACACAAACTGACAAAATATAAACGACTCCGCATACAGAATGTAATAAAGTTTCAGTCTTAAAGAATTCAAAGTTTTTAAATGATAAAAGAAGCTTCTCATGCAAGTAATGGAATAAAAGTTATAAGACCCATTTAAAATTAAAGTGTGTGTGTGTATGTATATATTTCTGTATTTACTCATCTTTTCCAAGTTTCTTTTAACATAAATTAATATTTATGTTCCTATTTATATGTATATTACTTTATGTATGAAGAAACTTGTCAAATATGAGTAATTACAGAAGTATATTTTCATACAGAAAAATTCTAAAGTATAATCGTTTCAAATGAAATAAAAATCAAATCTTAAATGGACCTACATTGCACATTAATACCAGTTGAAGGCTTTGTAGAAACAAAAAATAACAAGACATGTTTAGAAACCTTCTGATAGAAAATAAATCTGAGAGCCAACAAAAATTAATTTTATTATAAGCAGATAGAATGCATGTGAAAATTCATTCAGTTTTACAAAGGTACACCAACTTTATTAGTAATATTATTATAAGAAGTTAAAATGTATGTGAAAGCTTATTCAGATTTAAAAATGTGACTCACCAGATACCACATCTGTGGCCATCTTGGATCATTCAGCTTTTCTGCTACAGTGAGTCGATATGGTTTGAAATCTCTTTTGACTCTCCGTTTCAACTTTTGCTGAGCAAACCACTTAATCTGGAAGCAAATGCCAAGGAACAAATTTACAATATAAAACTTTACCAATCACTAAGTTCTACTTGTATATTATACACAGTTTATCAAATAGGATAACTGTCCAGCGTAAGAAACATTCAGTTATCGAAAGCAGTTAGTTTGATGGTGTTGTGTATACTTATGAAAACTAAATAAAACATGTTTTAACTATACACCATAACATTTACTTATAAACCTCTGGCAAACATAAACAACTCTATGAAAATCCGGTTTTTAGCCATCTGGTGGCATGTAACAAATAACAAATCATTTATACTTTATGAGAAAAGTCTATCAATATGTATAGACTTTTTAAAGAACATAACCTATAATAGTTTTGTGTATGGTTATATAAAATTCTGATTTTGTAACTTTATAATGTCATATTTATATAGAAAAGTATTATTACAAAGACTCATTTGAACTGCAAACTAACATCCCGTAGGATTGGTCAAGTGTATTTATACTTTTGAAAAGTCTGATTCTGATTACAATATCCTACCTGCTAAAATCATTCAACAGCTGGATCAAAACACTACTCATGAAAGCTCTATTTCTTTGTACTTTTACTTGCATTGTAACTTTAAGAGTCTGATCAATTTGAGAGTATACTTCTAGTTTAAAGGTGATATTTTTCTTGCCCATGCCTTAAACATGTAAAATTTAGAGTACTATTGTCACATTTATTCAAATGAAGCAAAGAAGTCACATGACTGGAGACTGCTTAAGGCTTAACAGTGGTATCTTATTGATGTCTGGTTCTTTGTTCAAAATAATGATGTTTTTACTTTTTAACAGATATATTATGGTATTATTGAGTTACAATGTTTGTAAACATTTGTTGTTTTTGTATATTAAGTTTTTCAAGTAAAACTACATCATCATATTATGATGACTCAAACCTTTATTGTATATTATTTTTATGTTTATCCTATTTGACAATATACATAAACAATTTGGTTAACAAACTACTTAATGATTTCTAGCTACAATCATGATACATTTCAAATTAAAACATGATTACTATTATTGGTGTTAACACAAGGTTTTAATTATTTAATGATCAATGTATTTAATTTATAGAAGATCATCAATGGGATTACAGTATACGATTGCATGATGATATTTAATCAACACTAGTGAATCGTTAGCGAAGTACAAAGCGACCAGATTGTCTTTAAAAAAATGTGTGCCAAAATGTTTTTAAACAAAAAATGTTATTTCCACAAATGGCAACAATCAAAAGGAGTCTATCCTATGAAATTAAGTTTAATTCAAGAATTACTTTAAAAGAAGTGAATAAAAATACCATAATAGAATATTTTTTACTTCTAAGAAGGGGGGAGCTGTGAGGTGTGTGTGTGTGTGTGTACTTATTGATTAATGAGCTCATGAAGATTTGAGCCTGAACAGTTGCTAAATGGAAACAAGATCAAAGATCACATTAATTCTGAAATTAATTAAAGAATGATAAGGTTCCAGGGAAATAATACTGTCCAAAGGGTTTTGAAGGAAGTTAAGAATTGCCAGTGTGAACAACTTGCTACTATTTTTTGTTAGTCCTTAAACTATGGGCAGGTGCAAGAATATTGGAAGTTGGCTAATGTTATTCTTCTTTTCCAAGGAGGTAATAAAATTGTTCTGGTAAATTTAGGCCTATTAGTCTTACAACAATGTTTGGAAAGGTTTTTGAAAGACAGATAAAAGATATTTAAAAAATAATTTAAAGAAGGTTAGAATTTTATTAGACAGTCAACATAGGTACTAAAGGGAAATCTTACCTTAATAATCTTATGACATTCTTTGAAAAGTTATAATTTTCCTATACTAAAAATGTATTTCAAATATGTACTTCCCTCCTCTCACAAGGTTAGCTATTCTCGTTCATAGCTGCCCTCTATATGCAAACGTTTTTATTACGTATGCCACAAGCCTTCCACATTCCCCTATTGGAATCAAATGATTCGAATGTGTCTCTCATGTAAATCATCATGCATCACCAATCCATCAATGAGATCATAGTACCCTCACGTGACAAATGTGACTCCCTTTATGTGCCTCTACCAAACTATCACTTCCAAGTTTGGCAGATGACAGAAGCATTGGAAGTGAATGGGGAGGAAGGGTGGGAAGTGTGAGAAGATGGAAGTACCTAACGGAAATACATTTTCAGTATGGGAAAATTATAACTTCCGATATGGTAATTTCCTCTGCTCACTAGATTAGCTAAAATCCCAAGGAGGAGAGACAGGTGCAAGGGAAGAATAGAGGCACCCAGAGAACGCATATGAAGGATACCGCTGTAGATGAAAGAGTCATATCCAAAGATCTGGAGAGGGGAACCGCACCACTTCTGATCCAGGTTTACTCTTGAGGAATGTGTAAAAATCAGGGCAGAAAATGAGAGGAGCATATCCTAGTGGGATAGGAAGCGGTAGGAAAGTGATCCTAACTGGAGAAAGATATAATAACTGAATCCCACAATAAGAAAGTGGGTAAATGAGGATTCTTCCCATGGTGTAGAGTGGCTAGGGCACGGCAGATCATACTCGGCAAGTCAACTACATCCAAAACCTCCTCACAGGATACCGACATCCATGTGAGGGTAAATTGAGGATCATACTTTCTTCACCTCAAACCCAAGTACCAGAGAATTCAGAACTATTCCCATTTCTGGGTATTACACAAGATGAGCTCTGAGTTATCGATCTGGGAATGTGACATCCGATATTGAAAGGAAGTCTATCACATGCAATCAGGTCGGGATCATCCAAAGGGCAATAAGAAGAGAGAATGAAGGAGGGCCAAGAATAGAACCAGAAGAGTCCCACGTATCTCAACTGTGACCCACAACACAGAAGAAGGAATCAAGAGAGGAAGATAGATAACTCAAAACCTGTGCAAAGACTTATGTTGATTGATTCTCTCAAAAACCAAAACCAGCCCACGGGGTACCGACATCCATGTGAGGGTAGAAAGAGGGCTCCCAATCGAAGGGGTGAACTGCATTTTGATGTCTCATCCCTTGTATGTTTAATCACAAATCAAAGAATATTATGACACTGACATTGGCAAAACACCACCTCCTTACTCTGAAATGAATGGTTATAACTCTTTGTACTTGTTTAAAGTCTTTATAGATTTAATACTATAACTTTCAATATAGCAATATGGCAATCTTTCAGTTAATATTATAAAATCAGATTTTTTAGTGAAGTAGATCCCTGGACGAAGAGGTTTGCAGGAATGGGATGGAGCATGAGGATATAGTTTTGAACAGAGGTAAAGTAAGGGAATGGAAGACCACATTAATATCCCAATCTGGAAGGGTAGGTCGCCGAATCTGGAAGGAATGGACTAAGATGGCAAAGACAAGTGAGAGAAAAATCCTGTGGTAACGGGAAACGTGAAAGGTATGGGATAAAGCTGCCTGATAACCTGAAATCGAGGAGACTGAAGGCTCCCGATCAAAAATCCATGTGAGAAACTCAGAGACACCAGCAACAGTAGGGCAAGCAGTGGGAAAACCCCCGAGCCTGCGAAAGACCTTCCACTTGTGCTGATACACTGGATGATGTAGAACTGGTGACCGGGGTTGATGAAGGAGGTCAGGTAAAATGGGAAGTGGTACCGGAGGGAATAATTGTAGGCGGAGTAAACAAGGAAACCATAGTTAAGCTGGCCAGTAGGGAGCAATCAGAAGGACCTGGCACAGAGTGGCATGGATCAGGAAACTACCCAATGAAGTAATTGGATAGGAGGATAAACATATAGGAATTTGTGTGCCCAATCCTGACTGAAGGCATCTGTAGCCAAAGCCTGAGGATGAGGAACCTGGAACCAAACTGTAACTGATGATTGAGAGCAGTGGCAAAAGTATCAATGTGAGGAATATCCCACAGACTGCAAAGCCACCAGAAAACAAGGGGATGAAGAGACCACTCTGTTGGGTAAACCTTGTCAGGGCAGGAAAAATGATCTGCCATGAGATTGAAAGCACCCGGGACATGACCCGCAATTAAACGAATGTGTTGCACATGGGCCTAATATAGGAGATCTAACGTGTGAAAACAGATAGATCCCGACTGGGTGTCACCTTGGTGATTAATATATGCCACAACTGTGGAATTGCTGGAATGAATCATTTACCAGACAATGTTTGGCAATGGGAAGAAAGTGATCCAAAGCCCGACGAATGGATAGAAGTTCTAGGACATTGATAATTAAAGATTTTTTCTCTAGCGACCAATGACCCAAAGCCTCCTGGTGATCAACCCATGCACCCCAGTCCTGAAGGGATGTGTCCATAAAGAGATGTAAGTCCAGATGAGGAGGGGGGAATCAGGTCACCCACCGAGGTGTGAGTCTTGTCTAACCATCATTTACAAGAGAAGGAGGAAGGTTGATGGGAGTATCCAAGAGATCCCGAGCAAGGTTCCATTGATCATGCAGAGTACACTGAAGGGAGCACATGTATGCATGGCTGAGGGAGATTAGTGGTGTCACAGAAGACCATATCCCAAAAGTAACAGAACCTCGCATGCAGAAAGTGAGGGAGCAGACAAGGCATGATGAACTGGCAATTCCAGAGAGTGGAATCTGAGAGGAGAGGGTTGGTAAGCCAAGGAGAGTGTTTTGAAAAAAACATTCAAATGTACAAGATATTGGGTAGGACTTCTCCAATTTGATCAACCAGCCTACCCGAGCAGCTTTGAGAAGGAGCTGACGAGTATGAATGGGCCAGAAGTAGCTAGTCATCCATGAAAAATGGAAATGCAGCCACAGGCCATCATGATGAAGAGCAAAAGCTTGTACCACCCAACAGAAAATTTATGGAGCCAAACTCAATCTGAAGGGTAGGATGCACAATTGGTATACCACTCCTTGATGGACGAACCAAAGATAAGGACAAGACAATTTTGAAATGAAAATATGCAGATAGGCTTTGGAGATGTCCACCTTGGTCATCCATAGACATGGAGAAAAAGCCCACCAAAGATTGAGGTAGGACTCTATGGTAAAATGTGGGAGGTAAACAAAGAGATTGATGAAGGACAGATCTATGACAGTCCTCCAGTCCCTGGTCTTTTTGGGAACAACAAACAGACAGGAGTAAAACTCCAGTGAATGATGTGGAACAGGTTCTATAGCAAGTTGGGTGAGGAGGTCCTGTAGACGTTGGCAAGTTATTAGATCCTGAGGAGGAGGAAAGGAAACAGGTACCTGGGACAAGTAAAATGGAGCAAAAAACATAATTTCGAATCCCTCTGACAAAACCTGAAGAACCCAAATATCAGAGTTGAAATTGCACCACCAATGAAGGCCCCAAGGTGAGCATCCACCGGGCCTGACCCCCCCCCCCCCCCCCGGT